CCAATAACCAAGAAACCTTCACCAACTGATTTCGATTGTGTCACATAGCCACAAAGCTCTCCCAAGTTAAATCAAACCAATAACCCTCCTCAATGCACGCTAACGTCCACAACAGGAAATGTTTAGATGACATATCAGATTAGCATGGGAATTCGTTANNNNATTACAATTTATGAATCATTAAGGAATTTGATTTATAATTATAAGAAATAAATGACTAACATGATTAGCTAAAATATAAATAATTTAATTTTAGTTTCGGGTTTCCGACACTAGCCTTTTTTCAAATATTTCTTAAATTCGAATAAAGAAAAAACATTTTTAGCTTTTTCATCACCGTTGTTTTTTGACAAATGATTCATATTAATATGTCCGGAAATTAATCTCTCCAACGGAAATTTCCGGTGTCTCAAAATGGTAAATGAAGAAAAAATCCTTTTTTATTGCGAAAAATTAATCTAATACGCTCTATCGATGAGCTAATCAGTAAGCATCGCTAAGCAAAACCTACTTTTCCAAGCTATCGGAACCAACCATACGATGTCCAAAGCCATCGACCAATTTGCTAAGCCATTGATAAGCTAATCCAACTTCTTCACCTTTAGTAATATACTGGATTAATTCGGCAACTTCCTTCCCGAACTGTAACAAATACATTTGTTCAACAAAAATGAATTATATAAATTTGTATTTGAGCAAATGATTTGAAAATTTAATTAATTAAAATTTATTAAAATTTGATTAAAAATTGAATCGATGAATGGATGATAAGTAATAGAAAACACAAAGTATTACTCATTATGTAATTGAATATTATATATACTTCAAAATTTTTCCCTAAACTATAAGTTATCAATATTGTTCCGTTTCCAAATTTTCATTTCATTTCGATTATTGCAGAACAAGGCTTCGAATCCATCTAGTTGAATTTTAATTATCACATAAGTAAGAATAAAAATTTTCAACTAAACAAATATTTTATATTTATATGAAACTTTTTTTAGTAAAATATATGAATATTTATGGATCAATGAGAGACATCTCTAAATTTTTGTCATATAGCTCAATTCATAAAAATAAAAATGAACACAATTTTTGAATATGCAAACTGTTTCAAAAAATCAAATTCAAAGTTTTTTTTTTTCAAAAATTTGCGATAAAAAAAAGCAGCAATAGAAAAAGAATGCGAATTTTTTGCTAAAATACTCCAATAAAATTAAAAGGAATACCATTAAATCAACTTCTGCCATATAAATTTCGAATTCATTTACAATATTCAATTT